GGACTCGACTTACCAGAAGGAAATGAATCTGAGCCGATGTCAGCAATTTGCCATGGCACCATCACTGTTCATTGCGGTATTGATTTTGAACGGTCGATTGAAGGATAAGAAAGATAAAGCTTATGCCATTGATCAGTCACTTTTAGCACGCATTCCACTTCCATTGATACTCTTAGAGGCACTTGAATGCGGTTTGGCATGTAAGGCGACTTGGGCAGGGGGCGGGGGCAGCAGATGTACAAGTCAGTGTTTTTCTCCTATCCTCTGGCCTAAGTATGGTGTCATTTACTCCACCCGTAGGGACGGAAGGCCTTGTTTCCTCGCAGAATGCAAGACCCAAGATTTGATCAACGGACGGCGCGCGTAAACAGCAGGCACCACTTGCATCAGAGCACACGAACTGCCACTATAATTTTTAAATGACTGACTAGACAGGAAAATTGGTATATGAAGAGTTTATGCGTGCAGCAATAACAGTGAAGTAACCATCTGATCAAAATTGGAAAAACTCTATGCTAGCTCAAGCGCTGCAGTTGAGCCTTCTAACGACCTTCTGTCTAGACATACATGCATCCGACTGACGTGATTGCTCTGAAATAATGCATTTTTGATTACTGTCAACGTAAAAAAAACCAAAAAGGCAAGAAAAATGCTTTACCCTTCACCCTTCACATTCGGTATGAAATCCCTAATAAAGATTATATTCAGTAAAAGAATGGCTGGAGCTTTTAGAGTTGATACCGTACTTAGGTTGCCGCGAACTTGGGATCTTTACTAGGGCTATTTGAGCACACATTTGTCCCTACAATGATGAGTATCAATGCTATGTTTTTTGGTTTACTGTGATTGCTTTTTTGTCTGGCTATATTGCGCCTATTTGAAAATAGGCTTTTCAGCTGCGAGTTTCCACCCCGAATCCCACACGTCATGGTACTGCTCCTTTCCCTTGCTCAACCACCCACCATCTGTTCAAAAAGATACTTCAGCTGAAATTCATGGAAACCGGAAATGGACTGTGGTGCCCACATACAAGATCCAATCTGCTATAGCGCAGAGACCAGGGGCGGTAGTAAAGTGCCCTAGACTGGTAATCAGGTGTGGTGATTTAACACCCCATTGCGGAAAATGGCGCGCCCAAACGAAAATACGGACATGACCTAGTTGAAACCGCCAGCCTCGCCACACGACCTGCAAAACTTGCATCCCTCTCGGACTTGAGCCCTGGATGGTAAGGCTCATAGCCGGGTCTTTTGCCACTGCACCAGGAACCACTCGACCACGCCACTGGAAGGGATGTTGATGAAAGGTATGCAATGGATGCTTGTTTGCAAATCTTGCATTAGACATCAAGCAGTGTTGATCCAACATAATTGCCAGCGGCAGCGCGGAACGTCTCCATTGAGCTAATGGCAATTTGCTATAAGTGAAGTGGTGAGCATCCACCACGTTGCTTGCAAAAGTCGCGTCACACACGGGTTTGAACCTTCGGTGCATCCGTCCCATGAGCGGCATCGCTACCACTGCACTATGGAGCCCTTCTTATTGACGGTGAAAGTTTCTAGAGGAAAGGCAATAACCCACAAAAGTTGCAAAGATTTTGACATCTAGTAGTATCGATCCCGTGACCGGCTCAACACCAACGTGGACCGCAGGCGCTACACCATTGACGAATCAATGCAAGTGCTTCCCTTTCCCTTTTCAACATACTGCTTTGACCCACACAGCCTGGCTGTTTGGAGATCGGCCATCTCTAAAAAGTCCTCCGGAGGACTTTTTAGAGATGAAGTGGCAGCATGTTTGCGCCCTCCACCGCGCGCGCACTATTTCCTTTTTCTCTGCCGCCATCGATGTTAGTTTTTGGATGACCACCCTGCTAATCCTCTTACTGGAACGTGATGTCGTCCCCCCCCCCACTTCCGAGTGAGTTCGAACTCACTTCGACCATTCTGACGGGGAATCTTCGGGGGGGTTCTAGAGGTGCTCTACGCATATTTTAGGGTAACTTCGTTTGGAAGCCATCACCAAGTTACCACGAGCTCATGGTACGTGGGAACTAGCAGTTGAGGCCACTTTACTACCGTCCCAGAAAATCGGATCCTGGCTCGAACCTCGTTCAGATCAGCCTGACTTTCCATGGTAGTCAGTCATTTGGCCATCTCCGGTTGACGTCGGGGTGGGGGAGGAACAAAAGGTAACCAACTACCAACAGCTCTACCCATATATTGTCGCACAGAGAAATATCTACCCATTTAAAAACCATATTCTGCTTGAAAATCGAATTCGGAGCGTAACGCGAGTTGTTCGACCCGGGGCAAGAAGGATCATAGAACTGCCTCGTTTCGGATGGTTCATGTAAAATTGCTTGCTAAATTCCTTAACAATATGCAAACATGTCAGAATGCCGAGCAAAAGTCGAAAAATGAGATATTTTTGGGAACCCGGTGCTGTCATGGAGGGGCTTGGCCGTTTTGGATATTATATTATGACCAAATTCAGCAAAGCGCCGATGAGAACTCACTGAGCAACACCGTCCTTGGTGTAGATCCAGTTCTGTTTCGCGTTACATTTCATCAGTGCAGTGACCGTTTTTGCTTCAAATCCTCCACCAAATCGCTTGTTAAACTTCAAAAATATTGTGTATTTTATGCGAAAAAATCAGTGGATTTTACAGTTCCCACCTCCATAGAGGCAGTTGTACCGCCGGCCGGTGCGGTGCAGATCACATGCATTCGTCTACAACCTGCAGCTGTATTCGTCAACATCCTGTAAAGGCACTGATTAGTACTCGGCAAAAGGGAAACTGCTGTTACTGTTTAGCCTTTGAGCTGTCGTTGGAGAAATAGGCCCCGCTCTGTCGGATTTAACTGCCGAAGGGGTACCCCCCAGGAGGCCCGTCGCGCGACAAGAAGGCGAGTCAGCGGACGAGTTCCGCGCGTACTGTAGGGATTTCGCGTCAAGTTAAATAGAATGTCCCATTGCACGTCCTACATCGCACATCACGCGCTGCGACTCGTCCGCGACTCTGCCTTCTTGCCGCGCGACGGGCCTCCTGGGGGGGTACCCTTCGGCAGTTAAATCCGACAGAGCGGGGCCTATTTCTCCAACGACAGCTCAAAGGCTAAACAGTAACAGCAGTTTCCCTTTTGCTGAGTACTAATCAGTGCCTTTACAGGATGTTGACGAATACAGCTGCAGGTTGTAGACGAATGCATGTGATCTGCACCGCACCGGCCGGCGGTACAACTGCCTCTATGGAGGTGGGAACTGTAAAATCCACTGATTTTTTCGCATAAAATACACAATATTTTTGAAGTTTAACAAGCGATTTGGTGGAGGATTTGAAGCAAAAACGGTCACTGCACTGAT